ACTGAGCCTGACCTTTGGTCTGGCATTTGGGGCAGCAAGCGGTGTGGCCGTCCTGTCTGCAGCTTGGACAGGACAGAACCAGCTGGCAGCAGTACTGGGTGGAGCAGAGCTTGTACTGGTCCCACGGATGGCCGCAGTACCTGCAATCTAAACAGAGTCTGTTATCTTATTTAAAAAATACATGTATATTAAGAGAATATTAGAGCTTATGGATGCTTTCTGGTACTTCTAACATGCAGAGAATGGGCTCTGTTTACACACTAACCTGAAATGATGTCACTGTTTGAGGAGATGGCGTAGCGTTCATCAAACACAAAAAGCTTTCCACGATAGAACCCCTCGGGGAAACGCTCCAGGTACTTATGAATTCCACCTTTCAGCTGGTAAACCTCCTTACACACATCCTGGTACCAGATTTAAGAGATAAATATGAACAAGAACTTAAAATATTGGATGCAAACCTTTCAAAAATATGCATTTCTCAATACCTAAACTACTAGTAAAAGGCTCCCCCTTGTGGAGAATCAGCAACCTGCAACAAGTAAGCGAGTGAACCCAGCTCCACTAAAAGCTTTCCAGACTGATGACTGAACAGCTTACTTTGGAGCGGAGGTAGGCGGAGCCACGCTCACAACGGATCCCTCCTGTGCAGTACATCAGAACCTTCTTGTCTCTGAACAGCTCAAGGTTCTGGTCCACGTAGTCTGGGAAGTAGCTGAACTTACGGATATTTGGCGCCAGGCACTGAGTGAACTGCCCCTGAAGGCAAAAAAATATTGAGGCTTATGAAATTGATCCCAGTCCTGCTTTTCTGTTTGGATACAGACTCATTATTTCCAGCTACAAATATCAGTGTTCTGCCCATCCTTACTATTTGCTCATGGTAGCTTGTGTAGATGGTGCACAAAAAACTTAAAATTACACCATAAATCTCTGGGCATGTCACATGTATGCCAAGATCATACATTACCCTGAAACCACCAAAATGATCAGATTACAGTCGAATGAAGTCAACAATCTCCTAAAGAAAACAAATTTACTACTCACAATTTTACTCTCATAATAGTTGCGGCAGTCCAGGAGGACGGTGTCATTGCATGAATCTCCTTTAGTCAGAAGAG